AATAATAATAATGATAATAATAATAATGATAATAATAATAATCCACAAATGAAGCGATTCAAAAAAGCTGGATCTCACTGTGCCTCCTCTAGGGTCACATTTGACCTAATTGGTTTACTTGATCATGGCGCAAATGACCGCGGTTCGAATCTCCATAACTCTTTAAGGACTTAGCCCATACACAATATACCCGATCAACAGCAGAGCAAAGGTAGTATTTCGGTACCTTTTATACCAATATACAGAAATCAGAAACACAAACATGGTTTGAATAATGAGGTTATGCCCCAAAACATGGCGACTACAAGCGCTGTTGAATATCCCGAACACATATGCTCGATATGACTTGAGGCAGATTTTAAGAAAATAAATGTGAATTGTTTAGGAGGAAAAAATGCTCCTCGTGTACTTGACTATGTACTATCAGATAGGGGCATTACATACAGTTAGAGGTCCTACCTTAAAATGACGTGGCATTATGGAGATTGGCATTAAACTAATGACGGACTACAAAAAGAGCTATTTTAACTTTTAAAAAGGGCACCACTGAAATCTTTCTTACCATCAACGTAACGTCTTTGTCATCAAGGAATCGGATCGAACTCGGGTCGTTCAGACCATGCTCCAGGAAGAAATCAAAGAGAATTTTGGTCTCATTATAAGCTCGCAGCTGATGCTCGGACAGCACCTTCAGGTCTTTGGAGAAAACACTGACCACGAGAGCCAGGCACACAGTTGAGAGCAACAAGCAACGCATGACTCTTACACACTGCGGGTCTTCTCCACAATAAACGACAGAGCTTTGTTTTCACAGATTGTGGTTCATACAACCTCTCGTGGTGTGTGGTTTACACAAACGTTCAAGTGTTTTACAATGACCTCAGCTTGTCCACGTCCACTTGAAACATCAACTCTTATTAACCCTTTCATTATCAGGTTCTACGGGAAGAAAAAGAGTAAAGAAATCGCAATGTTGTACAGTTGTAACACCTCTTTCAACACTGTAAGTTAAGAAGCAGAACCTCTTCAGCGTCAATCTTCGATATGACCAAGCCAAATACGTGGAGAGCCTTAAAACTTCCAAAAACCTATGAATTTCAGAGTGTCTCGTTTGTGGATTTGAACCAGAGTGATCCTCGCTTTAGTCCAGCGTGATACCAAAATGAGCTAATGACTCGTTTACTGTCCTATTAATTACCCAAGATTATCTCGTAACTGGAAGTAAATGGGGTTAAACTAAATGTTAGAGCACGCTTAACGAGAATCCACTCAAGCCTATTCCTTTGCCCACACAATCTCTGATCTGTTTTGCAAACCACAAAATGTTGCAGAAATCCGCCGTTATTAACTAAAAGTTTATCTTCAAGAAAAATTATCCATCCTTAGAAGGGGAAAAAGAAGATCGAAGGATTTGGAAGAGGTAGGTGGTGGGGGGGGG